GCACCAGTACACCACCAGATGTATGTATGTGCCAAGTTTGGTGATGGAATATTGAACGATTTTAAAGTTCTGCTCCGGAAAAGACAAATGTGCACGAACACATGGACGCACGGACACAAGCACGGACGGGGTCCATTTTAATACCCCCCGCAAAACGTGTTGCGGGGATAATACAAAGAATATATTTGCCCCTTCCACAACTGAACTATGGAACAATGTCAGAAGATGATAGTTATCGACAAAAGACTATCAAAACCGATCCACTTACAACAAAACTCTTTTATTGCAGAGTACCTTTCTCTTGTCTTATTGTGTTCTCCTGATGCTGATATCCTACGGCTAGCTAAACTTGCCTGTTTGTAGATAGTTTTGATCAAAGTAAATGTAGACAGTCCTCACTGTAAACAGTACAGTATGCATGTGTGTACAGACAGCTGGTTATCTTATCTCTCTAAACTGACCATTGGACTTCCTCGTTCAGAGTGGATGATGGCCAGGCAAGAACAGACTTCAGTAATCATGGAAACACGGACTAACAGGAAATACGAACAAAAGATACATTGAATTCCTCTGATTCATGAAGTGCAGTATTCATGCTAACTATCTGATGAAGCAAACTTGGCATCACCAACACAAGCTTTTGTTTCCAGACATGTCTTTTTTCAGTTCAGTTCATAAAACAACCAATCTGAGTGGTCTACAACAAAAACTTGATAAAAAACTTAAAAATACATCCACACTCTACATGTACTTCCAAGTTCAGAAGAGGTACTTTCCAATTTTTATGAATTTCATGTTATAAAAAGAATGGATTTGTTTGTTGCTCTCCATATCCATATAACATTCATAAATCATAAAATATTTCAACTGTTGCCCTCAAGGAAGATAAGTTTCTTATTGACAGTAGACATCAGAAGTTATATACAATAGAGTTCATACATTACTGATGAACTGGTCATAACATGTATAATTTGACAAAATCAAGATTCATTGACATACATTTAACCCTGATCAATCACTCTAACCCCTAAGTTGAACCATTTTCAACCTCCCTATCTTCATGCAGCGAACTATACGTTCTACTGGTGTACTGGAACTGCTGCAATACAATACAGTGAGGTGTGTTTCAAATGCTTTACAGATTCCAAACATGTGCCCAAAGTCCTAGCTGACTTTTACTCAGACAAGGAGACATAGTAATTATGAACATTGCAGAATCAACACAATCTGGTCCCAAAGTGAACACAATATGACAATCTGGTCCCATAGTGAACACAATATGACAATCTGGTCAACATGAAACACAAGGATGTGAGCATCTGCTGAACCCCATGGGTTGGTTCCAGTGTTCACGAACAGCACCTGACCCTCTGACAAATCTGGCAGATTCACCAATGGTCTGATAGAAGTCTACAACCTGCCGGCCCCAGTGTCTGACTGTATGTTTCACAATGACTTTGACTGAAGTTGTTATATGTGGCATGTAACACTTGTTTCCTGTTTATAAATCTTATGTTTGTTATAAATTCAATGCCAATTATAAGAGTTGTTAAATCTGAAATGTGTGTTTAATTTTATTCTATGGGTATTTGAATTTTCAATGGGTCAGACAGACATCTGAAACTTACAGGACCAATCTCCTGTTACTTTGAAACACCATTGGTGAACACTGTGGTTCATCATCGTCACATCAACAGCTATACACTAGTACTAAACAGTGTACAGGTGACCATGTCTCAGGTCAAGCTGTCGGTCCCAGTAAATCTGCAGCTTAGTACATCGACATGGACCCCTTGAATTTCATGTTTTGGAAACACTTTTTTCTTGGGGAGAATTGATTGTGTCAACTTTAAACCCAACTCTGACTACATGCTTGTTATGACAGCGGTCGGAAGTAATGACTGGGTGGTCAGTTCCTGTCAGTTGTGAGTCATCAGGCATTGCTCATGCTGTCAGTCACTGACTTGCACACGTGTTGAGCTCTTACCAACTACAATGATGCAGCTCAACAATATCCGCTCACTGACAGCCTTATTATCTGCACTTAGTAAACTGGACCGTCTTTAACCAACATTGAGGTAACATTATAAGGGTTTCACATCAGTTCGCTGTCTTGACACTGACTGATTTTCATGTAAAAGATTTACGTTTTAAAGTTAGTATTGATAATTTGAACAAAAAGCTTTTGAATCTATAGGCCCCAACTAGTTTTCGTTTTCTGTAAATGTTCACGTTATTATTTGATATTTTGGGACTAAGTCCAAATCATTGAAAAACTAAAAATGCCAAAAATCTGTAAATAACAAAAGGCAATACTTCTGTTACAGATCTGTTTGATATATCTGTCAAGTCTTGTAGAAAGATGTTGAACGATTTCCGAGTTGTGCTCCGGAAACGAAGCTCACCCCTCCCTTTTGAGACAAAGTCCGAATCATTTCCATGGAAAACGAGAAAAATAAAAATGCCAAATATCTGCAAATAGCAAAAGGCACCCCTTTGGAATCTGCCTCACATATCTGCCAAGTTTTGCTGAAAGATATTAAGAAGTTTTCGGGTTGTGCTCCGGAAACGAAGTCCACCCCTCCCTTTTGATACTAAGTCCGAATCGTTTCCATGGAAACCGAGAAAATAATAACTCACAAAAGTCTGTAAATAGCAAAAGGCACCACTTTAGGTTCTGTTTGATATATCTACAAAGTAGAAAAATATTCAACGTTTTTTTAGTTATGCTCCGGAAACGAAGCCCACCCCTCCCTTTAAGACTAAGTCCAAAATGTTTCCATGGAAACCGAGAAAAAAGAAAAATGACAAAAATCTGTAAATAGTAAAAGGCACCACCTTAGGTTCTGTTTGATATATCTACCAATTTTTGTTGAAAAATTTTGAACGGTTTTTGAGTTATGCTCCGGAAACAAAATGATTACGGACGGACAGACAGACGGACGTGGCGTCGACTATATCCCCGCATTACATGCCGGGGTGATAAAAAGGGTGCTAATGTCCGATTTTCTTCCCCCAAAAGATCATAATAATAGCCATGATCCCACCTTTCCTGATCTAACTCTGAAACCAAAGACCGCCTCCGTGGTGTAGTGGTAAGAGCGTCTGCCCAAAGAGCAGAAGGACGCGGGTTCGATCCCCGACCGCTTCATACCAAAAGACGTTAAAATATGGTACTTGTTGGTCCCTGCCTGGCGTTCGGCATTAATGGGTACAACAAGGACTGGTCGGCTCAGGGTCAGTATAATGTGTCTGAGTGGGGTATTCATGCTTCACTGGGGCATGGTATCTCAGTGGGCTAGCACTATAAAACCAGCTTCAGTCTGGGCTAGTACAAGCAGCCGCAGATACACATACACACCCATGCACGTCGTCATATGAGCGATTATTCTCAAGCACGACGTTAAACCCAATTTCACCTCACCTCACCTGAAACCAAAACCTGACCCTGGACAGGAAGAAGTCTTCAACAAGGGTGAAGATCCTACATAGAGACATGTTGGTTGGAGAAATATAGCCTCTGTCACAATCGAGGTGAAAGATTTAACAACAATCTCTTAACAAGCAAGCAGGAAGTAGAAGGGACACAGTGAAGAGTGAGGGACATAGTTTATTGGTGGTGTGAAACTGAAAGAGACTTTACTGTTGTGTTGTGTGTGACTGACTCATCAGCATACACTCACTCCACAATCAGTGACGGCCAGTATAATGTCCACTTGTTGAATCACTTGTCACAAACAACCCACAACTGCTGGCTTTGATTATCCCCGATAGAGAACCGTCAGTAAACAGGGTCACTATGAAATCATTTCCCATTTCATATAAAATTCATAAAAGTGTGTTTGACTGGAGAGAATTGGGCCCAAGCCAGTGTGTTACATCCCAACAAAGCACTCCGAGATGGATCACATCAGGTGGGATGAGGCTGTCAATGTTTGCAGGTTTCCCAGAGTTTGTTCTGGCTTCGAAGACAACAACCCTGGCATTGACACAGATGCCATTCTCAGATTAGCAGTTTCACAACTTGTTGTTGATCTATACACAGTTACAACTATGACCAGTGCAGGACTGGCCTTGCTGCCTACCTCCATGTGAAGCTCTGGCCTTAAGGCCCTGCTTGCCTGGGGCTAGGACATAGTGTATGTTATGTGTTAATGCCTTGTATTGCCTACAAGGTGTTTGTCCCTGTGTAAGGCAACAAGGTGATTACACAGTAGGAATCTACAAAGAGCATAAGTTTAGAATTTGCTGAAGCCACATATAATGGAGCATTTGTTAAAAAAATAATCTTTGCTTTTTAAGAATTCTCCACAAAACCTGAACGAGTGAACTTACAACAAGGATAGCAGCCTAATACAAATCTTAATCCAAAACAGGTTATTTTTTCAAAATATTCTTGGATAATCTGTCAAAATAAATAAGACATTCAATAAAGTTTAACATTTGTCATGAAATGTAAGAAAAATAACCCTTAATTAACTCGTACATAGTAAATAATTCTTAATGGAGCCAGATTTTCTAAATCACAAACCTAGCCTGTTGATTCTTCAAATGAACATACTGGGTAAAAACTATCAATATTTAAAATCCACTGTCAGGCAAATATGATAAATAGCATGAATATTGGGTCCTGAAGGCAAATGTTGGCTAATGAATACAATAATGTCAGCAGTGGATGTACTATTCAGTATATTTAGAGAAACAATAACAAAATAAAATTACAATGAATAATAACAAATTGAATTCATGAAGGGACACGGATCGATTCAGAGAATATGCAGGTGAATTGTAACAGCCCTACTCAAAATTAAATTTTCAAATCAAACAGAAATATATGGAATCAGACAGATATGTCTCAGAAACAGAAACTGGCATGAGCTTGCTACCCCAGCTGAGGTTGTATAATTTCAAGTTCTCAAAGGGGAACTTAATCTAAAAACTATTTGGGCGAGCAAACTATTCAGGTCAATTTCTGCCCCTGTGACAAGGACATAACCTACCAATGGTGTCCTGTTCCACCTGACGCCCAGTATCCACATTGACATGAGTTGCTCCGTTGTCCTCCTGCTCTGGGAGGTGACTGATAACGTCCATGCTGTTCTCCTCTCCATCTCCATCATCCTCTACCGTATCAGCATGAGGATCCATCTCGCCATCAGATGACAATGGACAATTTTCAGATGTCACTTTGGGCGGAGAAAACCTGCAAAAGTACCAAACTTCCATACTTTTCTCCCCAGTTTCTGTCACCTTGGACACACCCATCGTGCTGACAACACACAGCCTGGTCATAAGAACACACACTGAAGGACAAGTTCTCTATCTTCACAACTAGCTAACAAAGTTCAGTCGGAAGCTTCCATGAGTAGCTGTAATCTTCAGAAACATCAGTAAGTGTAAGCACTATAATACATGTGAAAAACCTGGCAATTCCTTCACTGAACTCTTCACACAATAATACACGCCTGCGGTTGTGTTGATGTGTGCTTGTAGTGCCACACCTCAACATGGAGTGAATCACACATTACAGCTACAGACTGCCAGGGATGCAAGATATATACGCAGCCAATATGATCTTACGGATTCTTACCCATGATTCCTTGGTGTAGTGATGCCTAAAAACAGAACAGTATCTAAGTGGCTCCCGTATCTGTGTAGTCTTGCTTCTTCCCCATCACTCCAGTGGAAATACCACAAGCAATGTATTATACAGGGGTCAGGTCTGTGGGTAGACACAGCCTCATAGAGGGGGGAGGCAGGGGGCAGGGGGCATCTGAACGCATATTTGTGGTATCAATAGATCAGATATGAGTTGCATTTTCAGATTCCATGTTGTACAAGCAGTTTTTGTTTGTATGCTAATCAAATATATTCCTTGAAATTTTCCAACAGGTTCTAAAAAGGATAAGATGCATAGTACACTATATGCAGTCTACCAAGAGAGCTACAGTGTATCAAAGTAGCGACGATTCTGTCTTAATCTGGATTTCATATGAAACTTACTTTTTAATAATTAGGACTGCATGATATTACCAGTATACCGGTATACCACAATACACTTTTTAAACGATATGTATTGTAACATCTGAGAACCGGTATATTGGGTACTGAACATATATAGTTTTTGTGATTATCTTTATGGCTTAAATCACAATCTGCACAGACTTTCATTCACAACAGATGATTTCGTCCATTATTCAGTGACAAAACGGCATACTGTAATACTATAAATAATTATTGTACAAATAACAAAGAAACTAGAAAATAGTAGAATCCTTAAATGTGCAACCTTATTTTGAGATTGCTCAGAGCCATAATATATATGATTAGGGACTCATTATGTACAAAATAGGATCGGCATGTACAATTAGCGTCACTTACTGTCAAACACTTAAGTTCCAAATATATATCGCAATACGTGTCTCAATATGGGTACCTGAATCGCAATATATTGCAATACAATTTATTTGCCAATACACAACCCAATCTATAATACAAAACAGGTAATAAAAATGCTAAAACCTGTAACTAGGAACAACTTCATTTCTGAAATTGTCCATAGAAGGTTAATCAGTTCTTCAATTGCAACGTGAAACAGCTGTTGTGAGCCCAAATACTCTATAGTGCTGAACAACTGGTTGGGAAGATTACAATACTCATTTTGTCCAAAGTACAGTGTTACGTATCATAAACCAATCAAGTTTATCATCTACAATATAATCAATGTTGTAGATCCAGTAACAATATTAGTAGGTAGAGTTCATGTCAGGTACATATAGTTCATTTTCTGGCTATCTACTTGGGTTGAGGAATCCAGATGAATAACATGAGTAGTCCCCACACCTCTATTGACCCAAAGCCTGTCATCTTCCAACTGATTGTAATATATGTATGAACCCTATCAGCTCGGCATGCCAGACAGAAAATACATCGGACTACACCCAGGCTATGCATTTGGCAAAAGTCAAAAGACCACAAAGTAGAAGTCCTGTTCTTCTACACTTGACAGGAATGTACTGTTAGTAACAGTGTTACAGACTGATTGGATGAGTGAGACTCCTGGTCATGATACTGTCATCTGCACAGACCTTCCACGACAATTAGGATTTTGGGTTCATGTAGGCCATGTTCACATCTGCCGACACAAATTAACAATCCAACAATGGGGAAACTACCGCAGATTTTCAGTTTAGGAATCAGAGCATCACCTGTTCTCTCTGAATACTATATTACCTACTCAATGTGAAGCAGAACCACAAGGTAATTACATGAAAACATTTCAGGAATTTATGTTATAAATTTTTAAAAGTATCCATAAGTTACATGCTTTGACATTTTACTGGTAGTTGTAACAGTAACGGTCGAAGTCTTAGGCTGTCTGGGATTAGTGTGGGGTTGAGAATATCACTGTGCCACAAGTCAGCTAATGGTTATGGAGTCCAACACACCCAGTCATGTTGTGATATTGGATTAACTAGTGAAGCATGTCAGGTTGAGTTTGGCAATACTGTGAGGCACGCGTAAGCACAATAGAGACCCAGAGAGAACACCCATTGACTATTTGAGAGTAGCGGGAGGGAGACACGATCACTTGTACAGTTTATTGCCAAGATTCAATACACAGCTATGGAGATATGTGTAATCAAAGCCCTATATTTACTTTTGTAAGGAATGTCCACATGAACGAAGCAGAGTGTAGGTAAAAGCACTTGACACAACCTGGCCTACATATAGCCATCATCGATAACGGCACAAACACTTGATCAGAGGTACTTGTACACTGCAACTTATGTTCACTGAGTAGTTTAATCAGTTTTATGGTCTGGTAAGTTCAATCTGTGTTTAACATTACCCTACAGGTACAGTGACTTGCCGGGGGTGGCTTGGTGGTGTACTGTGCATATGTTACCTATCTGTTTGAGTGATTACTTGAGAACTTATTGTGACACACTTAAGGTGTTTGTTGTTTAACGCTGCACTAAGTAATATTCCAGCTTTATGGCAGCAGTCTGTACAAATGATTGAGTCCACTTGACTTCACAGTGAATGATGTCTTAAGTATCAATCTGTGCAACTGAGACGTGCATCAACCAAGTCAGTAAGCCTGACCACCCTATCTTGTTGGTCACAGTTGGACACATTGTTTCAACAGTACTTCAGTTCTAGCATGGGGTGTGAGTTTGATGGGGTGGAAAACCTGAAGTGGTACCTTGAACATAGCACTCAGTACCCTGTACTATTCTTATTCATATTCCAATACTCTTATTCTATCCATGCATAAACCCAAATCTCACAAATACGTATTCACAGCATGGCCTTGATCACACCTGATCCAGAGCATTAGATTTCTTGTGAGTCATTCGTATTAAACCTGTCAGCATGGCTTCACAAAAAGATCACTGTATTTCAAATACCAAAGACTTATCATAGCTAACTTATCAAAGGACTAAGTGAAAGTCAGCTGCTGAAAATTGTAAAATCTTTCTATATGGCTATCCTGGAATACCAGTAACATGAGTGACGGAGAAATCTTCTACATTCCAACACGCACATCAAGAGATCCAAGTTCAAGAATCACAAGAGTCCACCATTAGGTAATCAGACAGGGTGTAAAAGCTGGTCAATTAAAGAACAATCACTTTATGAATGCCTGGGGCTGTTTAGCAACAGATAGACTCACTGAGCTTTCACTGGGCCATGTGATTATTGACTTATAAACTCTGTGTGCAGTGAACTGTGAACAGACGCTTCAGAGAATACACAATTACACTCTTGCTTATACATATTATAGTCGTTGTCATATTTGCATTTACTTGAAGTGCACTGAGGGTTCACTGTATTATGACTGAACTTCCTCCTTATGTCCTGAAATATTTTTTCAAGGCCTCCAAATACATCTGACATATTCAGGACCACCCTCCCTGTCCTCGCTATATAAGAAATGAGGGTGTGATTATAGTATATGTTCACCCTATTAGGGTTAGTGTTAGGGGTGGCAAACATATCCTACAGCGACCCCCAAATGACAAGTCCCTCGTTAGAGTTCAGTTTCAGAGTTGTGATGAATATTTTGGTAACCCATATTTGCAGTCAATGTTTAATGCCCCCAAAACTTCTATCTAGACCCTCTTGCTCCAATAATAGACTAAATGACCTGTCAGTATGTAATTTTTTATATGTAGCTAGATCTACATCCAGTCTTGTGGAAAATTATCTTCTATGTGTGAGAACCTTTTAATGTGAGGTTGACGTTTGATGTCTTCATGCCATTAAAACAGTATGCAGACCACTCTAATACACATGTCCACGGCTTATCAAATATTATATATATCATTAGATGATTGATAATCTGTCACAGCTACGGAGTTCCTGGCTGTAAAATAAAGCTTCTGTCATGTCTGTGTGGCAGTCGGTGAGACCGAGAAAAGAATTGTGTCAAGTCTATCACCACACCACCATATCCACGATGACATCTTGATCAACAAACTGTTTGTGTAGGAAATATTTCCAAACACAACACGATCAAGCAGGCAGTACTGCGCCAGGCTTGACGGATTAATGAAATCACTTAGTTCACTGAGACCGACATCGAACACTGATAGCAGCGACAACAAACTATGCGACTCAAGCTAAAACACGGGTTATAGGACATTAATTGTGTATGAACTGTAGCCGCCAGTAATGATTAATAAATGATCCGATCTCTTATGACTGTCTTTATGGACATCAAAGAACCCTTAGGTTCTATTACTAAAGAACAGACGACAACAGTGCGTCCCTGTTTGTTGAATCGCCGAAGCAGTCACAAGACAGGACAAGTTGCTCGGTCCCTCTATTTGTAAATCTCTATTTGTAAATGCCCACTAAATAAAACGAAGAAAAAAGAACAAACCTAAGAAACAGTAATGATCCGATCAGCTACGCCGCATAAATGACAGCCAGCTTTCCAAGTACTCCACACAAAACGAATGCCTGACAAATGACTGTCATGCCTCGCTGTCACTCGTTTTGTATCGAAGCGGGTAACAGCTGGCCACGTCTCGCGAGATTTGAGCGAGATGACACATTCTCCCGTCGTGTTCAGGTTGTGATTTTTAGACATTACTACAAATTGATTAAACTGCCTCACCTTTAATTTTCTTAACTGATTTTAACATAAATTGTTTATCTTGGTTCGACAAAGATGTATTAATTAAATGTAAGCATTTCTTGTAGAAGACATTACTGACAATGAATAAACGCGTCACTGTCCTCTACTGTCTTTCACTTGAAACGTGCATATTTTTGTAAATACATTTTATCTAGAATATCTTTTAATCGGATTAAAAGATATTCTAGATATTATGTATTTACAAAAATATGCACGTCTTTTGTAAGGTGAAAGATTACATAAGCTAATAAAGTATACATATTTAAGGAATATTATAATGTCTTGCCTAACTTTATTCAAAGTAACAAAATGAGCGCATGGTATTTGTTGTAAAAATTGATAAAGTCGCAAACACTCTGCGTTATTACCTTGGGCCTTGGCAAACTTCCAGCACCCGTAATTAATATTAAGAAGGTGTTTTCGTAACTGTAAGCGAATAATACGGTTTCTTTTCTATCTATACTCATGTAAAATAATGGTTGTCACCCCCCCTCCCCACCCCAACACCTCACACACACACCCTCCACACCCCTCTCCAATTAAATGAATTGAAGGGGGTG